GTCGCTGATAGGGATCCTTCTTAATGGAACGCCCGGAATTGAACAATTTTTTGTCTTTTTCCTGCACTTTTCTCTTTTTACAACTATGTCCGAGCAACTTTGAAGACAGATTCAGATGCAGCATGAAATTCTGAATCGGGTGCATATTTTTTAACATCCTGGACATATTTCGTTCTAGATCCCAACTAGTTTTCGTTGGGTTGTCAAGGAAGCCATGTTCCAATTTTCAGCCTCCTTATTAGCATTTCATGCTTTGGAATTATATGATTGGTTAATTTTCGACCAATCAGATATTTTCTCGCATCGTGGTAATACTTCGGGTCGTGCTAGCTTCTCATCGATAGAAAAGTATCTATGTATGACTTTAGAGTTACGTAGTATTTCGAGTTTGTATGTGACATGATGGTTTCCTGCATTGCTCATTGGTCCAATTCACTGGGTATTTACTTCATTATTTTTATGGGAAATAAATATCAATACATTCAAATTGAAACCATCTTGGGCTGTTCCTCTGTTGAAGGATAACAATTAGGATACGTTTTCCTGTCACATGCGACACTAGGAATGCCATTGTTAGTAAAAACTTCATCATAAGTCTTCAGATCAAAATGTCTTCATGTCTTTCTTTGTAATAAATGCGTCTGTTGGATTTACCTTTGTGATCCGTTAAAAAAAATAACAAGCGACGAAGTGAAAAAGACGACATTACAGCATATGGTCACTTTCTCAGTATCAAACGAGTATAAAACGATTCGATTTGATTATTTCTTTCTCTCAGTATTTTCAAAATCAACAATGAAAATCATTGAAGTTTTGTTTTTGGCGTTATTTCTGGTTGGTATTGAGAGTGAACGTAAGTGTGTGAAAACAAAATTCACTTTCTAAAGATGACGACATTCCTTTTACATAGGCATATACGGTGTCGCAACAGGCGAGCATCTGCATCATCAATCGACCACCGTTATCGTCATACCAGATGGCTTGGGATACGAACAAGCGTCATCGATATCAGGCGATGGTCGCAGTCTTACCGTTCACGTAACTCTCACGGTTCTAAAAACGGCTATTCGTTCAACTTGGTCCAAGCTACCGGCGGCAATTACCAATGTGTTCAAACTTGAACAAGTGCTTGCATTCCTAGATCTGTACTATACAGTTTCGGACAAAGCCGAAGATCTCATTCAAAAAGTGCTCTACGGTATCACTTGTCAAACACCTATACCCGGTTGCAATCAAGCGCTGGCTAGTCTCAGTGCCAAAGTTATCATGTGGCTCTTGCCCATCTAAACTATTCGTTTGATTGTAAACTGTTAACGAAAACAAAAGAAATAAAATTTTGAAAAATTCAAAGTCGAGGGTGTGGGTGTGGTGTTGGTGTGGATGTGTGTGACTGCATTAAGAGAAGAGCGATACCCACACCCCGTGACATCCCACCCACAGGCACATCCACATCCACATCCATCCACACCCCATATCTGTGCGTTACTTGATGTTTTGTCTATAGCTCACTCATTTTTCAACGCATCGATTTTTTCTTTTAATCAGAAGATAGCTCGGACTGTTAGCTACAAAACCATCTCTCATTTAATTCATTAACTCAAAGTATCTCATCGTGTTTTCATTTCTCTTACATACACCCAAAAAAGAGGGACTTTTTTGTCTGTGCGTTACCGACCAATATTTTTTGTGTGAAACCCGATAACGTAAGGGTAGAAACTTGAAACTTTTAAGGAAAATAGAACTTCGTCAAATACATATTTGCTAAAAGTTTCAAATTTCTAACTTGATTAGTTGTCGAAATATACGCCATTGAATTTGAAAAAATGTCTGTGCATTATGTGCGTTTTTCATGTTTACAATTAAGATAAAATAAAATAATTTCATCTTTGTCGGTATCAATAGACTATATATAAAAATAAAAAACCAAACTAACCTTGTTCGTTTACATCGAGAAATGTTTTGTGAACAACCTAAAATGTTACATGGATTAACATTTTCTTATCATAAATGAATTATTTACCTTGCTAATGTATAAATGATCTCTATTATGTTCTTCACTAGCGATATCGGAAAAATTTGCTTTATAATCAATAAATTCATCTTTTATTCCAACTTGTTGAAGAATATCATTTAATTGAAATGTTGATTCCATTTTAAATTTTGGTAAATATAAATGAAGTAATTCTGTTCTTATATTTTGACGATTTAATAATTTTTTCATCAAATTAGGTTGTGATGCTAATTTTTGTTCAATAGCATCTAATTGAACTCCTTGATTAGGTAAAATTACAGTAAAAACAAATTTAACATCTTTATTTTCACTTCTATATGGTAAATCAATAATTTCTATATGTAAATCAGCATTTTCATCAGTTAAATTGTTTCGAAATTGTTTCATCCATGCACCCTATCATTCAATGAATAAGAAAAAAAAACAAATTTTTCTTTGATTAAAATTAATATTTACCTTAAAATAAATACTATTAAGAATTATTAATCTTGTTTCAGGTGTAATATCGCTTGTTTTCAGTAAATCATGAATTGAATTGTTTGTTTGTTGTTCAACCCATGCATGAATTCTTTAAACAGCTTGCTTACTTTCATGTTCAAAATCTTCAAGTTTAATATCAGCTTTAAATGAATTTTGAACCATTTTACAAATATTCTTGTTGAAGTTGATATGCTTTTTGTGCATAAAGACGATTAGCTAATTTAAGTTGAACTTGTTTATCTTGATTTACAATAGAAAAGACATTCATAATTTGTTCAGCTGTTTTTATTAATTGTTCGCTTGATGATACTTCAAATGATTTTAACATTTGATTTAATGTTTCTTGTCGAGCACCAACTGCACACATTGACATTGCAAGAGATATACTTACTGGTGAAACAAATACATTTTCATTTTTCTTATTTTGACCAAAAGTTGAGTAAAGTTTGAGCTCAAATCGTTCGAAACTAGCGGCAGTTGATGGTGATGATGATGATGATAAAGCCACAAGAACAAGAATTAAATGGGCTATTGTCATAAATGCCAAATCTTCAATAGAAATATTTATTTTCTTGAAGAAATGTTTTACGCTTTTGAAATCTATTATCATAATCTTTCATTGGATTCTCACAAAATTCGGTAAAAATTTCCAAAGTAAGATGCAAAGAATGATTCTCTCAATGTCGAGTCTCTCATTGGTTCTATATTTCAAGAATTGTCTATTTCCTTTTTTGTTAAGTATTTTTATCGCTATACTGAGGAAAAAACATTAAAATAATTTCTGTCAAAAGCTGCGGCTATGTTACTAATATCCTTCAGAACAGTATGAAACTATAGATCCTTCGTAAATTCTTCAATTCCTAATTTTCCTATGGACTCATGCTAGAGGGAGTCGTTTATTTATTAATGTAAAGTGCATATTACTACTGTTGATATGGATTTATGTGCTTTATAGTCATTCCTTACTAATCTGAACCAGGACCTTCATTTATTGAATTATTACATTGAATTTCTTAGGGTCAAATATTGGAGTGAAAAAAAAGTGAAGCCTACTTTAAAGAATATTTTATTATAGAAGAACCATTCGTATAAACATCCTGCGTCGGGCCAATTTGAAAAACTCGAGAAGTCCTTGTTTACGCATTACAGTTTGGACAGTTCTTCTATATTGTCAATCGAATAGGTACGATTAACACGCGCGCCGAACCAACCACAAGGGATTAGCATCGAAACTGATGTGTCTGATGGCGGAGTTGTTGAGCTTACCTATACAACACGATGCAGATCTCTAATTCGCATAAATTTTCAGAAGAAGGAATCAATGACCTAATCGTATGAATCTCTCTTTACTATTCTCCATTTTCTTAATGATTTTTTGTTAGATCTAGAGGATGAAAACTTCGTTAAACGACTGAATAGTGGATAATGAGTTTCTTTATTGACTATATGCGCTTACTAAGAAGAGAGAAAAATATGGGAGCTCTCAGTTAGGTAACATACCTCAGTTACCTTTTTTTTTGTCATATAGCCTCGATCATACATGAGAAAAATGTGGTTTTTGTATTATTTTTGGTACATTCACAATGTTGATCATTTGTTGTTGATCGGACTATATTTCTCGTAAATTAACAGATTTATTGAGGTGTTTCTCAATATCGTTTGATCAGAGATGCATCGATGGATAAAAGATTCTAAGATAATATCATGAAACAAATCTCTTAATTTACAAAAGATGGAGTCAGAACAACAACAAATACTCACCATTATGAATGTACTATAACGGTTACAAAAACTACACCGCTCTCACATATGATTGAGGGTATATGAAAAAAAAAGGTAACTCCAATATGCTATTTAAGCGAGCGCTCCCATGTGTCGACTGAAAGAAAGAAAGACAGTTGATATATATATATATATACGTATATATGAAATGCTTGATTATCGCATTTTATCACAAGAGCGAACTTCTTCAGGTACTAAGAAGCTTTTGAGCTCAAATTTCACTCACAAGTAGATAAGGCATAGAGTAGTCTGTCCTTCCTCTAATTGGAGGGAGGGGAGGGGGGCAAGGTTTGAGTTCAAAAGCTTTTTAGTAACTGAAGATGTTTGCTCGTGAGATAATGTCATGACGAAAAGAAAAAGAGAACATCTATGCTATTGGTCCTGACTATTGTGCCGATATATATAGGTCACGGCTCGCTGCTCTTCTTGTTTCCTCTTTCCTCTTATTCTCTCTATTGTTCTTCCTGTGTCGTCTCTCCCTCTCTTTGTTTCTCGATCATATATAAGCGTGTGTTCTATATGAAGTAGACACATTCTGGAGATGTAAAGTAGCGAATAAAAATCATTACCGAGGGTGGCGGTAAGCTACTCATCTAGTCTGTCATCCCATCTTCTTCTATTTATCGTTACAACTATCTCTAACAGGAATGAATAAATATATGACACAGTGGTCGAGATAGGCTGCATTCATCCACTACACACAAAAGTATGTGTAGCTTATTTTAGCTAGTTTGAACCAATCAGCTTCTATTCTATGTTTGACTCACTTCTATCCAGGATTTCATGACAATGTGAAGGTCATCAGAAGTGAACCAAACTCGAGTTCATAGTTCATGATTAACCTATGTTAGCTATAATATGCAAAAAAATTCTCGATAGATGTTTGTGTGATCGAATTGATTTCATGAAATTTAATCATTATTTTCTGTTTTTCTCGTGTTACTTTGATAATTAGCTAAAAATCAAATGATATTGATTCTATGTGTTGATGTTTCCAATAACGAAAATGTACGTTAGCTAAGTTAAAACAGGTAGTTAATATTACACAAAATATTTCTAAAGTGTTATCAAATTTCTTGGACTATCTAATTTAGTTTTACAAAATAAATTAAATAATAAATAAAATAAATTTTGATAGAACAGAAAATAACTCTTAAAGTACAGAAACTTTGTCCGCAGTTATAGCATGATTTATTGTCTCTATTATCTTCAACTTTATTTGTTCTAAAATATTTGAATTTTATTAAGATTTTTTATGATTTAAAAAGCAAGCAGTTTGACAGCATTTGGTCAGATTATGTAGTAACCATTGATTACTTTTTGTTAAAACAACTGTTTGTTAAAAATTTTTAATCTTGATCTGTTTTAATAAAACAAAAAAAGACTACATGATTAGAAAGTGTGTAATAAAAGTGAATTAAGATTAAGAGTTGATTTCAAAAAAAAAAGAAAAAACAACAAAAATCTTTCGTTTTCTGTAGACGTCATATTTTTTCTTTATCATATTCTCTCTTCTTCATCATATTGCTTCATATATACACGTTTACAAATGAGCTCATTCATACATTGTGTTCAGTGATATTGAGAGACAAAAAAGAAATTGTTATCATCATTTGATGTATTCTGAAAATGAATTCAAGTACAATCAACAAAGAAAGTGTTTCAAAAAGTATAAAATAAAAATGATTTGAACAAAATTATTAAAATGAGGCAAACAATTATTTGAAAGCTAAATAGTTTCAAATTTGTAGTTTTAAAATACAATATGAGACTAGTGTTGGTTGGTTTAGATCTATCTGTGTCGAGAGAATTATTCTGGTTTCTTTGAGTTACATTTCAGAAAGATGATCAATGGAAACTCAATGGAAATCCTAGAGAACTTTTTTCAACTAGATATATTTCTTTTCATTAATCGATCATCACTGCTGTTACCACATAAACGAGCAAAATAAGTAAAAAATCGTCTTGTGTATCATACCTCACATACACTTTGCTGTGTATGATCATGATCCGATTCTTGTTAACACAAATAATAAAGCATTCAGTGATATTCAGACAGCATACAAAGCTAATAACTGTCCGTAATAGTAATTTTGCTCGACGTCGTCGAGTCAATTTATGAATGAATATGTTTGTTATGTATTTCCCGATCTAGTAACCCAGATCGATCATTCCGGCCTCCGTATCCCGCAGGAAAGATGTGGGAAATTCACCGGATCCCGCAGAAAAACACGGGGAAAAGCTTGAACATGGAAGCAGTATTCCCGCCGGGAATTTTCCGGACCTTTTCCGATGATTTTTGTACGGTTCGTGTCGGAAAGCATGGGAAATTGTCGGATTCCACAGGAAAATTCCGAGCAAGAATACTGCTTCCAACTTCCTGGAATTTTCCGTTGCGTCCCGGCAGTTTCCTGTTGTACGTCGTTCACCTGGGAACACATTGAATGAAAAGAGACGAAACTACGTCTCTGACTATGTCGCGAACTCGTTTTCTTTTGAATTTTCAGAGATAACGAGTGAAATTGAATAAATGTCTTAATTTTATTTATTTCTACTATGCCACATTTATTTGAAGGTCTTCTTACCGCCTTTTATTTTATATTATTCTCTTGTTTAGGGTGTGGCTGTGGCTGTGGGGTATGGATGTGCGTGGATGTGACTGGGTGTGGGTGTGTTCCTTTTCTTTTTGCACTCACACCCACATTCACACACACACACACACCCATACCCACACCCACACCCCAGCTCATAGGGAAATTGTGACTTTTGAGGCTATGGGTGTTTGGTATATCCTTATCCTCTGTTGATCTATTCATACCAGTACACATTGCCACATCCTTCTTGAGTTGTTTTTTCGTAGATTTGAGAAAAAAGAAGAATATGTGATTTTTTCTATTCTTTATCTAATTCAGCAAATCATATTCATATTGATATTTATTTATTTTCATATTATGTTATTGAAAACTTCGCAAAACTTCATAATAATGGAAGCTTCATCTGTTTATCGAACACTGAAAAGAGTCTATCATTATTTATCATTGAATGTTCTTTAAAATGTCAACAATTACACTTGATACAGAGAGGAATGTTGATGACTTTGATCTATTCGAAATGAACCTTGTTTTACTGGAATTGATTCTTCTTTCTTTATCGTCATTGTTTATCTGTGCGGCATATTGTATATTTCGCTATTATAATGAGCGACACTTCTGAAGAAAACGCTTGATTGTCGAAAATAGGAAAAAAACGAGAAAAAAGCAGAGAAAAAAAGATAAGTAAGGCTTTTTCTGTTGCAAAAGTAAAATCGATGGTCTTCGAAAGACAAACGACTCGTCTTACATTCAAAAAATTTTGTTTGCAATAATGCTTTCTGGTAAGTAACTTGTAACTATGACTTCGAAGCATGTACGGAAAGTTATCAGCCCATTGGAGAATTTTCCATAACGATTTATCTGAGCGACTAAGCCACTAAAGAAAACCCAGGAAGCCACCTAGAACTCGACAACCGTTAACTAACAGGATGACTGGGTGTGGGTGTCGGTGGATGTGGGTGTGGGTAAAGTGAAGATCAACATTCGCACCCACACCCATACCCACCCACACTTTCAAGATAGTTGCATTTTGTTTTTCCTTCTAGGCATCAGCAATGCTGTTGCTATCATTGTCACGATGACGAAGAGAGTTCTGACGATTATCACCGAATAAACTATTCAAAAGAGTTTGAATTATCGACTTCTATTTATGATAGTTGTACGA